TAAGAGAACTATAAAGTGCAAATGCTACAGTATAATCAATGAGAGATGAGGAAGTGGTCTAAGAGAACTATAAAGTGCAAATGCTACAGTATAATCAATGAGAGATGAGGAAGTGGTCTAAGAGAACTATAAAGTGCACGAGCTACAGTATAATCAACGAGAGATGAGGACGTGGTCTAAGAGAACTATAAAGTGCACGAGCTACAGTATAATCAATGAGAGATGAGGAAGTAGTCTTGGCATAATCACTCAGAGAAAAGTTAGAATGATCTGATAATACGAAAATTTGAAGCTACACCAACAAATCTGTTGAAAAAGGAACCCATTACATTTGGTTATTCCCAAACAGAGATCTTGAACTCCTTCAAGTGAAACTGCTAACCGTCCTATTAACAAGATTTCAAACAGACATGTTTGTTCAACATGACTTATGTATGCCTTTCTTGCTTGTTTAAGGAATATATCTGTGGGGTGTGTAAAAAAAAAGTAACCTAATGATTAATTATTAAAATGTGCTGGACTAAACAGTGCTCACGTTAATATATAAAAACCGTGTTATTAAGAAAATGGTTAAAAAAAGCTCCATGTAATTAGTCAAAAAACAAACTTCGAATTTTAAAAGGATGTATTTCGTTGTTCGATGCAAGAAAAAACAAATAATCGAAAGTGGATCCACCAAAAGAATAGTATTCTTAACAATAGGTAAATACACAATACCGTGTAAAGTAATTTACAATAAAGTTTAGATCCGCGCTAACGGAAAAATTCCAACTTTAAATGGAAACTAGTTTTGACATTTCACATGTTTTCTTCAGTCCAACATGTGTTTGTGGGGAAAACACATACAGTGTTTATTTTGAAACGGAAACTCCAATTCGTTGAGCGGCATATGACGTCAGAATGGGAGTTCAACTTTCAACTTAAAGTGGCCTTCATATTGAAGTTTGGCAACCTTTGGATTAACGAACTTTCTGGAATTCTTCTTTTGACATGACTTATAGTTCTATATATATTAGCTTGGCTGATTCTCAGCTTATTTTACGATCAGAATCTCTTATATGTAGAAAAATAGCATTATTTGTTTGACCATTTTTAACATCTTTTTTTTGTGTTTTCGTGAGTTTGGTATCTAAGTTTTTACTCGTTTCATCACATAAGTTTTTTCGCAGGAAACTATATAGACGCCATTTTCTTTATCGTATACTGCAGACTTCTTTTTTGAAGATAAGAAATTTTTAATGGTGTTGGACTGAAGATGACATTTGAAATGTCGAAACTAATTTCCATTTAAGTTAGTGTGGATCTAAACTTTATTGTAAATAGCATTATTATGCTCGAAGGAGTTTGAAACTTTTTTGAGGGTTCAATTCCCCCCTAATAGGATACTTTATGGTACTGAGATCAATACTGTTGTCAACCAACATTAAGATTCGGGCATATATGGATAATAAACAAACAATAATATTTTAATAGGTGTTTTTTATTATGCATCTTTGTTACTAGACCCTGAGGAATGAGTTATTGTGTTCAATAAGATAACAAAATACTCAGTCAAACGTTTGGGTTGTTAGATTTGTTTTCTATGTAATAAATTTTACAACCACTCAGTAAAAACATATCAAAATTTTTCTCTGCAACATTTTCACCAACCTTAATCGCACGTCGTAACAGTCAAAGAGTGGAGCATGTGTTAACTCAGTAATCAGACAGTAGATTATAGTCATAGGTAAGAGCAGCGCCCCCTTGAGGAGAATGGATAGTTTAAGAAATACAACTATGGGAAGGAAAGCAAGACAGCAGCTGATGACAATGTACTGGGGTAGTGGACATGACCGATGGTCAACATACAGTGGAGCTTGTGTGACATTTGATGTGGTTTCCGCACAAACAGGCTCAGCAACACACGAGAACTGTAAATAAAACCAAAAACAATAGTTACATTTTTGTCTGTAAATATTTGACCAAAAAATTAAACAAGAACAACTCTGGACGGGTGTACATTATTGATAAACAAAAACTGTTCCCCTAGTGTTGGGTTATATTCTATTTATAGAAGGTTTCGGGATGTACATTTCAACAAAGTGCGAACATTCATTTTCCTTACCATATAAAGCTAGCGACACTAATTAATTTTTGGTTCACGGGTTTAAAACAGAAAAACAGCAAGCAGTTTAGTTACCCACGACTCCAAGCTCTGTTGGTGTATGAAGTGTGTTTTCAATTGGTTTCCATAAACATTTCTAAACTCGAAATATATTTAATTCTGGTTAAAAACTGAACATTATTCCTAAAAGTAGTAACGACAAAGAATATTTACTATAAACATACCATGATTAAATTACTTGGAATGAGCGTTATAAAATTTGAGGATCTTTAATTGTTTTGAATCATGCTTAAAGACATATGTATATTTTTTAAAATGTTCTCGTCCGAGCAAATGTGAAACAAAAATATGTATCCATTAATAATATCAGTAAAAGTAAAAAAATTCACGAGTAAAAACATTTCACTTTAAAAATAAAATCGACTTTCTAACATACGTAATTTTGTTTAGATGTATTTGATAAAAGTGACTACGAAAACAAATATCAGGATCAGAATTGATTATCGAATAAACATTATTGTCAGAAACGTTTTTTTAACAGGATCTTTACTATCTGGGCCCGGCATGGCTAGGTGGTTGGAGCGCTCGATTCGCAATCTGCGGGTCGCGGGTTCGAATCCCCGTCACACCAAATATGCTCGCCCTTTCAGCCGTGGGGGCGCTATAAAGTGACGGTCAATCCCACTATTCGTTTGTAAAAGAGTAGCCCAAGAGTTGGCAGTGGGTGGTGATGACTAGTTGCCTTCCCTCTAGTCTTACACTACTAAATTAGGGACGGTTAGCGCAGATAGCCCTCGTGTAGCTTTGCGCGAAATAAAAAAACAAACAAACTTTACTATCTTTGCACGTGCTTTAGTTGTGATCACTGAAATTGAAAATAACACATTTTCAAATTATGGTTTCTTACAGCTCCAACTATTTCATTGTTATAAGAATTCACTAAGATGTCTGGCGCTGAAAGTAAATGTTAAAAACGTTTATCAACAATTATTATATATATACATATGGTGGGAAAAACATATAATTTTAACTAACACTATAAAAAGTCGACTTTCATCCTATCAACTGCCTAGAGACTAATTGACTACTGCTATATATATATATATATATAACACAGAAAAAAAGGAATTTTCAATCTGAATGGAACCTCATGAGCCCGTGGGATTCTATTGTTCAGGTATAATTTTATATTACTGCCCAGAGTGAAGGCAGCCAGCCATCAGCACCGAATACGGAATTGATTGTCACTCTTACAATGCGCTCATAACACGTATTCAGCGGCATTACGTCTCAAACCTCAGATCCATGCTAACCACTAGATCACGCACAGCCTACATACATAAATAAGAAAAGTTCATAAATATTTATATATAGACAAAGTCAATTAAAAAGCGTAGTTTCCTACATTAAACCTAAGGGAAATAACGAACCGATTTTTTAAGCTATAGAACCTAAATACACCAACTGATTAAGGACTAATATAAACATTAGCGCTGACACACCAGTCTGGTGCTTTCCAAATTATAATCCAATGATATTTGTAAGTCATTACTATGTAAAGTAGGATCTGCTCAATACTCTAAGTAACGTTGTTCAGTATTAATCAAAACATAATTTACTAAATTAGTTTTTACGAATCTACGTTTGTGAGGAGAATTCTATTTTTCTACGATACTTACCACGTTTGCTTGAGCAACTGCGTATATCAAGATCACGGCGAAAACCGTAGCGGCTAGTCTGGAAATAAAAGATTTTCTAACGTCCCATGTTATGACCTGTAAACATAAAATTAAAATATGCTTAGCCGGGTAATTGTAAGTCTGATCTATAAGGAAATGTGGGTAACTGTGAGTCTGATCTACAAGAAAATGTGGGTAATTGGAAGTCTGATCTATAAGGAAATGTGGGTAACTGTGAGTCTGATCTACAAGAAAATGTGGGTAATTGGAAGTCTGATCTATAGGGAAATGTGGGTAATTGTGAGTCTGATATATAATGAAATGTGGGTAATTGGAAGTCTGATCTATAAGGAAAACAATTACCCACATTTCATTATAGATCAGACTTCCAATTACCCACAAAGTCTGATCTATAAGGAAATGTGGGTAATTGTTAGTCTGATCTATAAGGAAATGTGGGTAATTGTTAGTCTGATCTATAAGGAAATGTGGGTAATTGTAAGTCTGATCTATAAGGAAATGTGGGTAATTGTAAGTGTGATCTATAAGGAAATGTTTTTAGTTTTTGTTATCTAAAAATGTAAACAATCAACGAAATGTCAAAATTAATTTTTAGAAATAGTTTTCAGTTTGTTTATTTATTGTTAAGCACAAAGCTACACAATGGGTTATCTGTACTCTGCCCACCACGGGTAACGAAACCCAGATTCTAGTGTTACAAGCCTTCAGACTAGTCGCTGAGCCATTGGGGGTTGAGGGGATGGGGCACAGTGCGAATCTTTTGCCAATAAATTAAATCAAACATGTAGATAGTTAGGTAATGCACGTTAAGAAATTAAATGAATTGTTACGTATAAGTAATAATCAACATAATAATGAAAGTAAACCATAATACAGAAGCATAATATTAAAGTGATTCATACTGCTAAATAAACACAACATTAAAAACAACTGAATCGTATAAGATGAACCAAGTTAATGAAAACACAAAAGTCTAAGTTTTCTTTTCTAATGGCTTGGAATGAATAAACTTTTTTTACTGGAAATACTACATTATATATATATATATCGTGTAGACATGATATTTTCAAAACTTTGTTAATCATATAAAAAGTAGCTGGAACCCAGGTTGTAATAAATAAGCTAAGTTACAGTCAGTGTAGCTTCAACTTGAAATACGTGACATCAGAAGAGTGAATTAATTTTGGCATCTCTGTGTCAGTTTATGATATAAATATTCTAACAACCTGCTGTTTAATGAAAGTAATTACGTTTTCAGCTCAGCAGCTTCAGCGGGACATCAATATATCACAGTTTACAATTTTTTTTTGTCATTAGTTTCCTAATGAAGACGACTGTGTTATTAAATACCCCCCCCCCCCATTTCACGTGCAGCAATTCCCAAAAGATTAATTATACTCATGAAAGAAACACGGTTTCTTTTCAACTAAAAAAAAAACAAACTTTATTTTATGCAAAAGAACCAGAATAAAGTCGTAATCTTATGTTTTGAAAAGAAGGATTACTTATTGATAGTCATAAGAACACAATTCTTCCGCAAGATAGTTCATTGTAACTTTAAAAATCAATTATAGAAGACATGCATCAATATTGATATTAAATGTGTTTAAAAATAATAAACTCTTAATTGCATACATTCTGTAACAAGTACTAATAAACTATTAGTAAACCTGATATTACTAAGTTTATTTAGCATTATGATTTTTTTCGCCATTTAAAAAGTAGTGAGAAGCTGTTAAACGTCAATATATATATAACGCCTCACCTTAGATTTTGCAGCCAACACCAGGCCAAGGATAACGGTCATCCATATAAATGCAGTTAAAAACAGTACAACCAGCACAATAGTTCTAGAAAATACCAAAAGACAAAATATGTTATAAGATAACGGTCATCCATATAAATGCAGTTAAAAACAGTACAACCAACACAATAGTTCTAGAAAGTACCAAAACACAAAATCTGTGATAATTAAAGAAAAAAAAACGATTCAAATTTTTAAAAGGAAGTTAAAGTTTTCTACTGTACAGATAAAAAAAAACACATTAATGATTGGATATCTGTATCAATCTACTACATATTTCCAAGTTTATATAATAAAGAAAATTATTTATCTTAATGATAAGTTATTTACCCAGTAATATCTGATTCCCCATATATTCATTGAAAAATTTTATTCTACTATGTAGGAACGTTCATATTGTGAAATATTGCTTCATTCACCAATAAAAAACAATCAAAGTATCAAAATAATTACTAACCCTGAAAATTTCGTCTCCGCATTAAATATTGAAGTATCATAAAAAGGGCCATCAATATAAACCTGCTCGTGTGGAAGACCTAAGTTAATGATCTTCATATAAGGTTGAATGTTCAGCAAATGGAAGTATATGGTTGTTGAAAGTTACTACTTTGTCAATAAACTCATTTGAAACAAATCTGTTGGAAAAGTTGCAACTATGTTCGGTTAATGTACGTTGTAAAGACCCCATGTTGATTGATCTTAGACATGAAAATTGGACGTTGATGATCATCATGAAAATTCAAGGCAGAATCATATAGTAGTAATAAACAGCTAAGAGCTTTAAAATCGGCCCGGCATGGCCAGGTGGTTAGGGCGCTCGACTCGCAATCTGAGGGTCGCGGGTTCGAATCTCCGTCCCACCAAATATGCTCACCTTTCCAGCCGTGGGGGCGTTATACTGTCACGGTCAATCCAATCATTCGTTGGTAAAAGAGTAGCCCAAGAGTTGGCGGCTGGTGGTGATGACTAGCTGCCTTCCCTCTAGTGTTACACCCCTAAATTAGGGACAACTAGCGAAGATAGCCCTCGTGTAACTTTGCGCGAAATTAAAAAAGACAACAGACAAACGTGCATTTTAAGAATCATTTATACTTATTTAAAAACAATTATTTGAAATTAATCACATTTAATCCTGTTTGTTTCATTTTGATTTGTGTTTCTCTATTTGGATTCTTCGCGCGCTATATAGTTGCGCACTTTCAAGTTTCTGTTTTCATTTTACCTCCCTAATAATGCGCAGGAAAATTTAGTAATAAATACTAAAGATGTTTATACGCCCATACGAAACTAAACACATCGCTTTACATAAGACGTTGAAATTGAGAAATATATTTGAATCAGATATAGCACATGTATAAATGGGTACCAAGGGCCATGGCATGTGGGTATGGAGTGTCATGGCCTGTCACACGTAGGTACACATTGCGTGACTTAAATTTAAATTAACATTTAATGGGTGAAGAGAAAGCGTCGCTTGTGCATCGCATTAAATATAATATTGGCTGTAAAGAATGTATAAACGACTTATAGATTATTTATTAAGATCACATATTAACAATTAGTGACTCTTTGGGGTTAGTTTAAGGGAAAACTTTTGAGTTGTCTTCAACTTAATCCCATAGAAAACATTAGCGTAACCTAGATATTTATGGTTTATAGTGTTAGAGGCATTTGCTTTAGACATCTGCAAAGCTTCATCTTTCATAAATATACATTTCTCACAGTATGAGAACCAAAGCGTTTTTCGAAGGTAGAAGGTTTTGTCTATTCATAATCAAAGTGTTTAATTTTAAACAGCTACACATGGAGCCAAATACCGACTATAATGCATTTATAATTAAGAAATAATTTGTTTTTCTTGATCATTCATTTGTTATTGCTTGTTTGGTTTTTAAGCGAATTTAATTGCGCAGGTTGTCCATTGTGTAGCTTGTGTTTGATTCGTTGTTTATTGAATTTCTCGCAAAGCTACACGAGCGTTTTTTTGCGCGAGCCATTCCTAATTTTAAAGAGATAGACTAGAGGGAAAGCAGTCAGTCAACACCATCTACCTCCAGTTTTTGGGATACTCTTTAGCAACAAAAAGTGGGATTGATCATCACAATATAGCGTCCCCACGGCTGAAAGGGCGAGCATGTTCGATGATGGGGGCTACCAGCCTGACCTCCAATGTGTAGCTTTGCGCTTAAAAACATAAACAAATCGCTCAGACACCAGGAGCAGGTACTATTGTATGGCAATGTTTTGGTACTTTATCCACATATTATATCATAATAAATAGGTCTAGATACATCGATTTCTCTTATATAGTTCTTGATAATTTTTAGAGATGTGACAGGAATATATATATAAATAATTTAATTTTAACATAATAATAATCAAAACTTCGTCATAACTGGCCTTTAAAAAATAATTTTTTATGTTCAAATAATTTTACAAAAATAAAGATGATTATATTATAGCCTCTTTTGTTGACAAACCTGATCTAAATCTAAAAGAGATCATGTCTGATATTAAAAGACATGTTGAACGTAATGACATCAAAGATCCATTTCTTATGTTTTCCGTCCATGTGACCAGTGACATGAAACCATCATTTTTTTCATCACGTTTTTAATTATCTTGACAAATGCAAAGAGATGACATTGTACATCAAACTTCTAAGAAACCAATTCATTGTTTGTTTGTTTATTGAATTTCGTGCAAAGCTACACGACGGCTATCTGTGCTAGCCATCATAATTTTGAAGTGATAGACTGGAGGGAAGGTAGCTAGTCAACATTCACTCACCGCCAATTCATGGCCGTAACATTATGACATCCCCATGGCTGAAAGAGTGAGCATTTCTGATGAAGGGATTCGAACCCGCGACTCACAGCTTGCGAGTCAAGTACTCTAACCACCAAGTCATGCCAGGCCTAAATCGATTTATTGGTTTCACACTTTCTGTAGTAAACTCTCTAGCCTTTGACAGTCGCTTCTACATAGCCCATGTTTTGACCTCAGTATTGAAGCAAGTCCGATCAAAGCTGCTCAAAGATTTATATGGATCATATTCTTGATACGATACTGCTTCTATATAAAGTAGCCAGAGTGTGAAATATACTCTAAATTCCGCATCACTTCTGCTAATCTCATCCTGCAGTGGCAATGGAAGCCAAGTATTTCAAAACGTGCACTTGCTTCAAAATTTGTTTTGGATGAGATTAAGTTTGTGTTAATTAAATATAATAATAAGTCATAGCCTTTCTTTTACATTTTTATCGTTTAAAAGTATTTTATAAAGTTCTTATATATATGTTCAGAATTACATTCTAATTTATGACATTTTTCTTGAATTATAGTTTGATAGAACATTCATAGATGGCAGGATGCCCAAATGATTAGGATTATTGATTGGTCGCTTTGTTATTAAGCACAAACCGCTAAATCAATGATCCAAATCATTTGGGCGTTCTGTCACTTATGAATGCTCTATAAAACTATTATTCAAGATAGCCCAGTGCGGGTATCGAAACCGATTTTTTTTTGCTTTTAAGCCCTCAGACTTACCACTAAGCCACGTGAGGTAGGATTATTGATATAACTTATCACAGAAAGTACGATAAATTTCTCTGTTCTATTCAATATAATTTAGAATTAAATTTAAATAATACCTAATTATAGTTATTAATTTTCAAGGTAAATATAATTTCTAACGTTTAAGTGAAAATATTTCAAAAATTGGGAAATGCAACTAATAAATGTCAGAATGTTATAAATCATATGTTCTTCGTCAATGTTATCAAACCATGTTATGTAACTATCAAGGAAAAAATAGACATAACTTAATCAAACGTCACGAGCAATTATACAGTTTTTCACAAACAGCAGTTGTGTTAACGTAGGGTAATACTTAGTTGGTAGTCAGGGAAAGTACAAACCTTAGTTTTAATGAGCATGAGTTGTGTTTCGAGATAAAACTATTAACCTTAAAGTCTGAATGTCTTATAGTTTTATTGGTCTTTGTTCGTTTGTTTATTGTTAAGCACAAAGCTACACTATGGAGTATCTTTGCTGTGCCCATCACGGGTATCTAAGTCTTTCGATCTATAAAAAATTTAGACTTGGAACTCCTTATGCAGCTTTACTACACTTAACATAAAAAGGATCATGTTCATTAAGCTCCCAGACTTTTTAGTTACGTGTTATAATGTATACACTAAAAGAGATCATGGCTACTTAGCTTTCTATTTACTTCACCCTACAACTTTACAGTCACTAAACTCACCTTGGTAATACAATAGCTTGAACGCATCCCAAACATAGCAACACAGCTAAGCAGGAGGTCACGCTGTTTCCAAAACCGTGATCTTTCTCTTCATGGAACTAAAACAACAACAACAATTAATTTACTTATGTGATTACTCGTGTACACATATACATATAAATAAAACAGTGAAAAATTCATTTCAATATTAAGAAAACTAGGAAACTAATTTTTCCACTTGAGCGTACAAATGGCGGGTCAGAAACTTAAAGGTTCAAGTTTATCCATCCCTAATTGTAAATTACTGACGAAAGGGAAAACAAACAATCAATAGCACCAGCCGTGAAAAGGGGTTTTTCTGGCTATTTAGATCGAATAATGATATCAACTGTAGCTATTATAATATATCCACAGCTGAAAGAGCAAGACATATTCATATGGATTGTTTCAAACCTCGGACCTTTCGATTCTCAGCAGTTTGTGCCAGATCTGCCGGTGAGACAGCGGTAAGGTTAAGGCCTTACGGCACTAAAATCCGGGGTTCGATTCCAAGCAAAAAACACAGCAGATAGCTGAATGTGGCATTGCTCTAAAACAAACAAAATTTACATCAAAGTAGAGATTCATGAAATCGTTTCTTTTAAAAACGTAGCAGTAACTAAAGTGCCATTAACTGAGAAACTACGCAATACAACCCTTTGTTTCGCTTTTTCCAGATCATACACAAATAACTACCTGAAACCTACAACAATAACCGTATGGGAACCAACGCAGTTGTTCAGTATCTGCAAGCTAATGTAAGACCACAACCTCCAAAAGACAAATCAAAACTTTTACTAGGCTACTATATTTTCTGTTACCTATGAACTGGCGTTTAGAAAGAAATGTTGAGTTGAAACAGTTATGGAAATATCTTTACAATCAAACCGATTTAAAGAAAACACCATCTTTTGTTGTGCAAACCAATTATAACAAAGAATGAAAAAATACATTCATATACAGATGGATTTGAAATACTTTTTTTTTTGGCCAATTATAACAAAGAATGAAAAAATAACATTCATATACAGATGGATTTGAAATACTTTTTTTTTTTTGGCCAATTATAACAAAGAATGAAAAAATAACATTCATATACAGATGGATTTGAAATACTTTTTTTTTTTTGGCCAATTATAACAAAGAACCAAAAAATAACATTCATATACAGATGGATTTGAAATACTTT